GAATGCAAAATGGTAAAGCCACTTTGGAAGACAGTTTGGTCATTTCTTGTAAAACTAAACATACTCTTATTATCCAGCAGTTATGCTCCTTGGTATTTACCCAATGGAGCTGAAAACTTACGACCATGCAAAAACCCACCAGTGATGTTTATATTAGCAGGTTTACTCATAGTTGCCAAAACTTAAAAGCAACCAAGATGTCCTTCAGTAGTGAATGAATAAATAAAACGTGGTAATCCAGAAAATGGAATATTATTCAGTAGGAAAAAAAGAAATGAGCTGTCAAGCCATGCAAAGACACAGAGATCCTTACATGTGCATTACTAAGTGAAAGAAGCAAGTCTGAAATGCTACATATGGTATAATTGTAATCCCAATTATATCACATTCTACAAAGACAGTAAAATGATCAGTGGTTGCCTGGAGTTGCTGGGGCAAGGGTGGGTACTGAATAGGCAGAGCACCTAGAGTTTCAGGAGAGCAGAAATATTCTGTAGCATACACCATACTGATGGATACACATTACTATACATTTGTCCAAACCTATAGAATATACAACACCAAGAGTGAACCACAAAGTGAACTACAGACTTTGGGTGATTATGATGTGTCAGTGTACATTCAACAATTGTAACAAATGTACCCTCAGGTGGGGAAGTTGATAGTGGGAAAGTCTACACTTGTGTGTGAGTTAGGTGATATATGGGAAATCTCTACTTTCCCCTTAATTTTTTGTGAACCTTAAACTAAAAAGAATATAATGCCTTTCTGATAAAAAAGGGGCAGTTCTTAAGTACAAGACCTCTACCAAGATCAGGCTAAAGACTATCGTTGCCTCAGCATTCTGGGGCTGGACATTGCAGGACAGAGGGAGCAAGCCTGAAGGTTATGCTCACAGACCCTGGAGCCACAGGACCTGTGTTCTAATCACAGTTCTGCCATCTAGTACCTACATGGCCTCAGGTAAACTTCTTAACCTCTCTGTGCCTCAGTTTTCTCACCTGTAAAGTGGGGATAGTCTAATAGTATCTACCTTACAGGATGCTTGTGACCATTAAGTGACTTTACATACATCTAGAACAATGCTGGCATATGATGAGCAATCTGTGTTAGCTGTTGTTATTATTCTGATTGTTTTTTAACATTGTGCATGTTCCATTGCCTGAAGGTCTAAACAGTATGGTCAGCACTAGTGTGGGACACAAAGTGGCAGAGACTGCAGTATTTACATAAGAACTGGCTTTGGAAAGGATCTGACTTTGAGACCCAACTCTGCCTCTTGCAACTAAGTAATATCCAGGCCACAGGTTCTTGATCTGCAAAGCAGGGATACTAATCCTTATCCTTCCTACTTCACAGGTCTCTGAGCAGACAAAATAAAGTGTATTAAGTTGCTTTTCAAAATATTTATTTTATAAGCTAACATAGAGTAAAATAGACTTTTTGGGTTTAGAGTTCTATGAATTTTAACTCATTTATGTAACCACCACCACAACCAGGGTAAAGAATATTTCCATCGACCCACATGGAATTGCTTTTTAATCTTTAAAGTGCTCTGCAAATGTCAATTGCATAATATTTCAGGGGCTATTACCTGGATCTCTTACAATGGGACATTAGCTAAAGAACATTTGAGGCCTGGCATATAACTTAGAAATAAAGGAAGATGAATTCCAACAATTGAACTTCCTGCTCACCAGCTGCCTTTGCCCTGGCTGTTCCTTCACCTGGAACACTCTTGCTACAGAAACCTGCATGGCTCACCCCCTCATGTCATTCAGATCTTTGCTCAAATGTCACCTTCTCAGTGAGGCCTCCTCCTAACCACCCAATGTTAAACCATCTGGTACTTTGGTTCTCTCCTTCCCCATTCCACTTGTTCTTTTTTCCATAGCATGCATTGCCTTCCATAAAACTATATACTTTGGGGGGCACCAGCTCAGTCAGTTAAGTGTCCTCCTCTTGACTGGGGCTCAGGTCATGATCTCGTGGTTGAGACTGAGCCCAGTGCCAGGCTCCTTACCTAGCGGGGAGTCTGCTTGAGATTCTCTCTCCCTCTGTCCCTCTCCACCTCTGCGTGCTTGCTCTCTCTCTCAAATAAATAAATCTTTTTTTTTAAGCTATATACTTATTTATTTTGCTTATTGTTGATTCTCTACTCCCTCTGATAGAAAGTGCCCTAAGAACAGAAATTATTGTCTGATTTGTTCACTGCTGTATCCCAAGCATTTAGAAAAATGTAGTAGGGGATCAATAAATATTTGTTGAGTGAATCTGTTTAAAATAACATGAATGAAATTAAACCACACTCACCTTTTGTTTGTGAGGACTAAAAATACAATTATATACAAGGAAAGTATCAGAACATCTGACACATAAGCCTAAGCTGGAATAATGCAAAGGAATATCTGATTTAATTTTTGGTGAGCTCTTTCCTCATGTAAACACACCAAGATCATAAATTCTCTCTCCAGCTTCTGTTCAGTGAATGCTGACAGATTTTTCTTCCTCCTTCCCCATTAGGAACTAGCATTTGCGTAATTAACAGCTGCTAAAACCCTTTCTGCAGGAGCAGAAAGTTTAAAAATTCATGGAGACAACATGGGCTCAGCTTCATCAATATACTGAGGAGCACTGGTGGTGTGGGAGCCTAGGGTGAGCCGGAGAATCCAGAGGCTGTGCCACTCAAGTTGCAAAGCTAAGAGATACTTAACTTCCTGAAAAAAGGTCAAACCTGCATCTCTGCCAAGGGAGCAGCTCCATCTCCACCTACAGACAGACCTGCGGGGTCTTTCATCTGCAGAGCTCTGTTTCAGCCACATCTACATGAAAGTATCCACTGTCTTTGATGAGTTCAAATCCACTCACACAGGCCTTTACCTCCTGTGAGTGGCAACACTCTTGTTCCCACAGGTGGGACACTGTGGGTCCCCAGGCAAGGATTCAGGCTTTAAAGCTAGGATTTGTGGGTGAAAGAGGCTTCTGTATCAATAATTCCCTCCCCTTGTTGGAGAGCACCTCCAGATGTCAGGAAATTATATGGAAGAGAGTCTCCCAGGGATTGAGAGAAGTGAGAGTCTTCCATTTATTTGAGACCACCCACCTCAATTCAAAATATATTCAAATGGAGAAATGTCAAAACAGGGTCACAAAAAAATACTCATGTACATGAGCATTTACATCAAACAGCTTCAAGTTTTTAACCTACAATTATAAAGCAACTATATATAACTGTTACCCACAAAATAACCACAGGATTTATTTACAGGCAGAATTTATAAAGCTTTCCAGGCAGCACCAGGCAGGATTGAGACACAAGCTTAATGTTACCTGACAATCACACTGGCTTGCCTCTGATTGATCTAGACCTTTATCTGAAGGTCATGCTAAAAATCTAAACAGAGGCTCCTGATCACCTGAGGTCTGGAACTAAATGGCCATCTTGGGCTGCCTCTGTGATTGCTGCCCATCATAGGCCCTTAAAATAAATAAAGGTGATTTTTAGCAATGTTACCTTACTACAAAATAAACAATATGTAGTTTGGGGGTGTGTTTCATAATATTATTTCCAGGGATTTTCACTCTAAACTGGGGCCAGAGAGGTACCCACTTTGGTGATCATCTAGAATGTGGACCCTTCTGGGCAAATCCCACTTCTCAGGGTGAACAGCTCTGCTTCCATCACCACTTCATATTCACGCCGTCAGGCTCAACCCTCAAAAAATACCTCCCCAGTTCTCCTTTGGTGCTTCTCTAGTGCTCAACAGATTCTCTCTAAACAACTCTGGCATCCAATCTCATCTCTCTCCTCCCTGCAGTGCCAGGGCACCCTCATCTCTCTGGGGTACAAGTGTGACAGCTTGCATACCTGCTTCCACTTCCAATCCCTTGCCTACATATAATCATGTCACTTCCCGCAGAAAATTCTTCTGTGGTTGCCCATGGCCTCCAAGATCCTTATCTTATTCACATTCAAGCATGGAAACTCCAGCCCTCTCACCTCCAGCTTGGATCAGACCACTTCTGCCCCCAATCCATTGTCCTTTTATTTCTCTGGCTCAGCCTTATTTATCTGTTAACTCACTCTTCAGGATGCCTTCCTTATCCTCTGCTCTACATGTTCTAACCATAGGGCTCCCTGAACATGGCAGGTCCTTTCTCAAGGACAGCTCTTCCACATGCAGAGACCGCTGCCCGGCTCAGCCTTCTCCACACATCATGGTTAAATCCCCCTTCCTTCAGTACTCACCTCCTGCACCACTCAATCAGGACGGCCTTCCTGACCACCCCTAGCACACTCCAGAATGGGTAAGGGGGGTATTCCACTGTTCTTGGAAACCACTTTTCAATTTCTTTCCACCAGAGGCTGATTGCTTTGTTGGTTCACAAGTCTCAAACTATTATATACCCATATCACCTGGAGTTCCTAGCAATACAAATTCTAGGCTTCACCCTCAGAGGCTCTGATTTTGTAGGTTGGAAAAGTAGCCCAGAATAAGCATTTAACAAGCTTGTCAAATGATTTGCTGCAGTTGTTGTATATACCACATTTTGAGAAATACTTCTCTGGATCAGAACATCCAAAATGGGAAGTGCATCCCCTAAAGCTTTTCAAAATGATGCACTGCAGTGTACGTAAAAAATTGTTTGAACTTTTATTTCCAAATTTTCAATCTAAATTCTTTTTTGTGTGTACATTTTGTGGTTACAATATATGTGTAAAATATTCATGATTTGTACATAGATGAACACACCTACGTTGGGGTGGGCAATTTGATAGTTTGAATTATTCGTTACAATTCTATACTTCTCCCAGAATCTACAGTTTGTCAAGTGATTTTGCAGTTGTTTCCACTTGAAACTGAGTGACTCCTTTGCCCACTGACTTTGGGCTCAGCCATGTGACTAATTTTGGCTGATGTGATAGTACACCAGTTCTGAGCCACAGACTAAGTAAGAGACATCACATGTTTCCACTTGCCCTCTTGTACCTCTGCCAGTGCCATGAGAACATGTCCCATGGATCTGATGAGGAACAGAGACACCTGGAGAAGACTTAGATCCAAGCAGCACCTTAGAGTCGTCCAGATGAGCCCCACCAAGATGCGTCAGCTCCCAGTCAACTTGAAGAAGCATGAATAAAACAAATGCTTATCAATCTATACCATCAAGTTTGTGATTGTGTGTCATGTATTGGCTCCTAATACAGCAATGACTGGCTTAGATTTCGGGATCACTGAAGGCAGGGTCTGTACTCCAGCTCTGTATCCATAGCACCTTGTACAACCTCAGTAGATAATAGAATTAATTGATTGATTCTTTCTCTATTTCCTGAGAAAATTCTAATCAATGCTCCCTGTGGCCCTGTTTGAAAGGGGTTAGGTTTAACTCACTTTTCTAAAACCAACTACAAAGGCTGGGACTTCTCGGGTCCCCAGATCACCTTTCCTGCAGTCACACAGAGAGCTTGTCCATGTGCACCCCAGGCTCCTGTATAATCCTGAGGTCAAAATACCACTGCCTATTACCCCTAACATTAAATATCTGAGTGGCCCAAGGGCTGACCTTGCTTAGGTTTTCTTTTCTGTGGTCATTTGGGGTTTCTACTTCATCAGCCCCCAGTAATCCAACAAGACTGTGGTATCCAATCTCTGCCTTGAATCTATGACTGGGGTCCCAGAGCCCTCTTTCAAGGATTGGCCCCCAAGCATTCCCCCAGGAGGATCTATTTCCTAACTCCTGGGAGAGCATCTGCAACTCCTAGAGCTATGGCTGCCATGCCCATCTACCTGGTTGGAAACTCAAGGCCTAGCCACTTCCAGGCTCTGCATTCTCTGCAGGGAGAATGTTCTGCTCCCTCAATCCCTGCCAGTGAAAACTCAGAAAGCCCCTATCGTGGCCTGTATTGTATACAATGGGGAAAATAGTATTCAAGGGAATATTCAAGTCTCTGCACAATCACTGTGGGTCTCTGTTCTCCAATGCCTATGCCCTTGGAGCAGCACCTGCCTGAAGGGCCTCTTGCCCACACCTCCCTCTGCAGCAACAGGCCAGGAAACACATTTGGATTATCTCTGTATGAAGTCAGGAGGTTTTGAGGTTTTGGGTATGCCAGTGGGGTGCACAGTATGGCTGGGAACAGCAGAATACAGTGGGGGACCCTTGATGATACCCTCAGCAGAGCTGCCAGTACTTCATCTTGCATATGGGATTGCTCAGAAAATATAAGTTGGGTGGCATCAACTCCATCTTTTTTGTCTTTGTCCCATTTACAAAGAGTGTTTCCAAGGAGGCTTTCTTTCCTTCCCCCTTCCCCCCTCCATCTCTTCTCCCTTCCTTTCTTTTTTTCTTAGATTTTTATTTATTTATCCATGAGAGACACACAGAGAGAGAGGCACAGACATAGGCGGCAGGAGAAGCAGGCTCCATGCAGGGAGTCTGATGTGGGACTCGATCATGGGACTCCAGGATCATGCCCTGAGCCAAAGGCAGGTGCTTAACCACTGAGCCACCCAGGCGTCCCTCTCTTCTTCCTTCCTTTCCTTCTTTTCTTTCTTCCTAATTCTTTATCTTCCATTTCTCCATTAAATCAGAGCTGCTTTTTCAGGAACTAATTTTGAATTTTTTTAAAAAATATTTTATTTATTTATTCATGAGACAGAGACAGAGAGGTAGAGACACAGGTGGAGGGAGAAGCGGGCTCTATGCAGGGAGCCTGATGTGGGACTCAGTCCTGGCTCTCCAGGATCACGCCCTGGGAGGAAGGCGGCACTAAATCGCTGAGCCACCTGGCTGCTCCTAATTTTGAATTTGAAAGTGACTTGGAAGTTGATACTGTTTCTTAGTCCATGCAGAACTCCCTTCTATAGGCTTGTAACGTAAAACTTACTGCTATCATTTACTGAGCAGCTATGAAGTGCCAAACACAGTGCTATTGTTTCCAGGATATAAATATATATGAATCCTGCTCAGGAAGTGCCATTACCCCCACTTCACAGAGGAAGAAACTGAGGACCAAAAATCATAAGTAATTTATGTGGTCACTCAATTTGTAAATAATCATCACAGTTCTGTCAGGCATTGTTCTAAGCACCAGACACATATTAACTCATGCTTCCTCTAGTCTTATGAGGTAGGTGTGCTATTATCACCTACACTTTACAAAAGTGGACAATGAGACCCAAAGTTACACTGCTAAGAGGCAGAGTTTCTATTCAAACCCAGGCAACCAGGCTCCTGTGAGCATAATCCTAATCACTAGGCAGCACTGCCCCTCGATGGTAATAGGATTCAAACCCAGGGCTTTCTGGGGCATGGGCCTATTGATTTTCTCTCATGTCACGGTACCTTGGGCCTCCTTGAATCTGCAATCTGGCTTCTAGGGTTCCATAAACATAGCTTAGTGTATAGAGCTGCTCAGAGTTCTGGTCACCTACACCCTGGCCCCCATGCAATGATTTTACATCTCTGTTCCCTCTGCCTGGCATGACCTTCCCTTCGCTCTATGTTCTTCATCTGGTTACTTCTGATGCAGCTCATTCCCTTCTCCCTTAGGGAGGCTTCCATGACTACTCTCACCAACCAACTAAGACTAAGAGAGCTGCTTTGTGTCCCTGCAAAGCCCTGTGCACACTTGTCCCTGTGGTTTGAGGGGAGGGACCATGCCTGGCTACAGAATCACTGAGTTAGAGATAGTAGTAGGCACAGCTGGGAGCCCAGAGTCAAGAAGAGATGCCAGCATTACTACAGTCCAGGAACCAGACACGGTGTTTCCTTGTGCCAGATCAGAAAACACACAGAGCCAAATAAATAACCTTCTTCCTAGAGACACAGGAGAGGCTCACTCTGAGAGTAAGAGGCTCACTTGGAGAAAGGAAGAAGGACTGAAATGAAAGGAAACACCAACTTTATCTGGAACATCTGAACGAAGCTATTGACAGGTAAAAGACAGAGACACACAGACACACACAGAGAGACAGGGAGACACAGAGACAGAGAAGGGCATAGAGAGGGACAGAAAGAGAGCAAAAGAAAGACAGGGAGACAGAGAGAGACAGAAGTAGAAAAAGAGAGACAGGGAAAGAGCACAGCCCGTGGAGACCAGGCTGAGTACTGCACATCCAATCCTATCACCTTCAGGTGTCCGCAGCCTCCTGTCTAAGCTTGGCAGGGCAGATGGCCAGCCTGGCGGTGCTTCTGGCAGGCAGGTGCCATCCTAATGAGTAATTTAGCAAGTTTACTCTGGAGAGCAGCAAAAGCATGCTATGAAACATCTTAAATTTATCAGATCCCAAACAGAACTCCATTTTCTGCCATCTCCCCACCCCAAACTGCCCTCTCTTCGTCTTCCCATCTCAGTAAATACCACACTTGGTTGTTTAAGACAGAAATGTGGGAAGATCCCATAATTCTCCCCTCTCCAGCCACCCTCCACAGGCCATCAACTCTCCTCCCCAATACAGCCTCTGAGTGCATCTACTTCTTCCAACTCCACAGCTACCACTAGGGTCCAAGCCATCGTCATCCTCACCTGGACCAACAAGGAAGCTCCCCTCTGCCCTTCCTACCCTGGCACCTGCTTCCCTGCCGTGACTCCCACCCCTCAGTGGTCCCCACTGTGGTCTGGATAGCACTCAAGCTTCTTTCACGGCCTCGGGGGGAGGAAAAGACACATCATCGGGACTCCCTTCCCTTAGCTCATTTTCTATATCCAAACTGGCCCTTCTATTTCTCAAACAAGCTGACTTCACTCTCTAGCAATACCCTCAGGTCTCGGCACTTGCTCTTCCCTCTGCCCAGAATTTTCTTCTGTCTTCCCCTTGCCGCCTCCTTGTCATTCAGGATGTCACTTCCTCAGCGTCCTTTCCTGACCATTCCATTTAATACTGACCCTAGAGCCCTTCACCAACTACAGTAGGCCCCCTTTATTCACAGAAGGTATGTTCCTACACACCCTGCGGGTGCCTGAAACCACCGATGGTATCAAATACTCTCTATGCTATGTTTTCTTCCTATGATAAAGTTTAATTTATGTATTAGGTACTGTAAGGGATTGACAACAATAGCTAATAATAAAATAGAACAATTATTACCATACACTGTCATAATAGCTATATGAACACGGTCTCTTCCTCAAAATAGCTTGTTGTCCTGTACTCACCCTTCTTATGATGATGTGAGATGATAAAATGCCTACGTGATGAGAAGAAGTGAAGCGGATGATGTAGGTATGGTGACACAGCATAGAGGCTGCTATGACCTTCTGACGCTACCACAGGAGACCATCTGCTTCCAGATAGAGGTTGACCACAGGTAGCTGAACCTGCGGGAAGTGAAACCGCGGATAAGGGGGGCCCACTGTGCATCTTCTTCCCTTATCCTGCAGCATTTTCCTTATATTGAGAGTGGGTTCACTTCCTGCCAGACCCCCCCATGACCCTGCCCACTTCATTCTCATCCTGGCACCGTGCACAGCACTTGGATGCAGGACTGACACACTGCACACTGAGGAAGCATCTGGTAAAGAACTCTGAGATTCCGGGGGCATGGGCTGTGCTCTGGCAGAGACAGTTACCTGGAGGGTCTGGACCTGGAGGGGGCCCCTGTGAAAGACACAGAACTGTGCAGTGTGGCAGCCCCGCTCCCATGACCTTGTTACCTGATGGGGAGACTATGCACACAAGGAAGAGAGTTATCTAGGATCACTCAATGAAGTAGAAGCCAGCCCAGAACATAGGTCTCCTAAGTCTTTAGCTCGTGTTTTTTTTTCTGACTCCAAATTACCACAATTAAAATATAAGATTCTCTGCATATCAATGCTTAGTTCCCAGTCATTCACTTCACCCTCTCCAGACAGGGAGCACTTTTCTATTAAATAGCAGAAAGTAATAGCCACCATGTGACCCACTTGCTTCCTAGCACTGAGCTCATTACAAGCATCATCTCACTAATCCTCACAGAACCCTGTGAAGCAAATAGTACCATTAACCCATTTTACAGATGAGAAACTAAGGTTGAAGGGGGTGAAGTGACCTGCAGACCACCATGTACCAGGTTAGTGGCAAAATTCAATCTTGCCTCTACATCAGTCTAGTCTGTCTCCA